TCCGCCAAAATCAGCAGTAGGGGGCCCCATTCACTTTTGGGACAAAAGCCCTCTTTGCCTACTGCTGCTGTTACCTTTCGTACGCTGCCCATGGCCATGCCATGCACACCGAGCTGACCGATATCATAGCAAAGGTGGCTGAACGTTAAACAACATAGTAGACGGAAGTATTATTAGCCCTTTCCACACAATTACAAAACCGGTTCGGTGCAACCGTTAGATCAAGAGATTAAAACATAATTACTAAACCACCTCCCCTCAACCAAAGCTGCTGAAATTACGCACTCCCAGTACGCCCTGTCGCCGATGTGATGTGAAGGGACAGATACAGTCTGCCCATGGATTATTTTTTTACTTATATTAGCCGCAATGATGCTCATGATTATGTTGTGTTGTTATGAAGATAGTTGTCCAGCCCCTTGTTAATTCACTGCTGGATGAAGGCCTCCCCACACTGTGGCATGCGTTTGGTGGGTTCTTTGACCAAAAACTGTTCACAGTGAGGATCGTTCCCTGGGACAGTTGAAGGCATCACCCGCCACTGATGTCACGCGTTGGCCAGGAATAGAACTCAGGCTGCAGGGATCCGTGGTGCAGGGCACTAACCACTGTGCCACTGCTTCACCCCAACTGGATGCTTAAGGGAGGCGTATAACGTGCCACATTTGAGGAATACGTTTTATTTTTTAAACTCGGCTTACCCAACAATTATTGCGTCAAGTAATTTATACAAAGCCAGTTGATTTTTCTGTTAGTTGAAAAAGGGGCTAAGCTATGTACAGGACTGGCTTCAGATACAATGAAAGCATGCGGCAGACAGGAGGAATCAAGGCTTGTACTTTTTGACACTGGGCCTTAACACTGCTCGTTACCACAGTAAAACCAACAGACACGAGTGAGTGAAGATACCTTCCAGACTACACTGTACAAGAATACACCACTGTCACACACTCGGGAAATCCAACCAGCAAAACGATTAAAACGCCAAGCGGACAGCACTGTATTCCCAATTTAGACGTGGCTTTCGCTGTGCTTGGAGACAGCTGGTCTTCACGGGAGCTGCAGGACACCTTAAGGGCGCCTCATTGGTTTAGGGTTTCGGGGATGAACACCGTGACGCCGTGGGTGCGTGCGAGACGCAGGGTCACGCGAATTCCTTCCGTGACGGCCGAGCGGGCAGCCGGGCAGGGAAGGCCTCCCTTGTGGTTCCCACCTCACTCACTCCACTGCCGCTGCTTTAAATAAGGCAGAGAGATGCTTTTGTTCTCGAAATAGTGTTTTACGTAACGTCCCATCGCTCCGGTCACACCGCAAAGCGTTTGCCCACCAATGAAAAGAACGTTCCGCTACTAGGAGAGTTGCAGTTTCTCATCCTGACGATGCAAATGGTACCCTTGCGTCCTCTCGATACAAATGAAAGTGAATTTCACGAAACATAAAAAAAACGATTGTAGACTAGTTTGAACAAATGTAGGTGCAAACTTTGATTAACCATCCGTGCAATTACAGTATATGGTAGATTTATATACAGTGAGGGAAACAAGCATTTGATCCCCTGCTGATTTTGTACGTTTGCCCACTGACAAAGAAATGATCAGTCTATAATTTTAATGGTAGGTTTATTTGAACAGTGAGAGACAGAATAACAACAAAAAAATCCAGAAAAACGCATGTCAAAAATGTTATAAATTGATATGCATCTTAATGAGGGAAATAAGTATTTGACCCCCTCTCAATCAGAAAGATTTCTGGCTCCCACGTGTCTTTTATACAAGTAACGGGCTGAGATTAGGAGCACACTCTTAAAGGGAGTGCTCCTAATCTCAGCTTGTTACCTGTATAAAAGACACCTGTCCACAGAAGCAATCAATCAATCAGATTCCAAACTCTCCACCATGGCCAAGACCAAACAGCTCTCCGAAGATGTCAGGGACAAGATTGTAGACCTACACAAGGCTGGAATGGGCTACAAGACCATTGCCAAGCAGCTTGGTGAGAAGGTGACAACAGTTGGTGCGATTATTCGCAAATGGAAGAAACACAAAAGAACTGTCAATCTCCCTCGGCCTGAGGCTCTATGCAAGATCCCACCTCGTGGAGTTGCAATGATCATGAGAACGGTGAGGAATCAGCCCAGAACTACACGGGAGGATCTTGTCAATGATCTCAAGGCAGCTGGGACCATAGTCACCAAGAAAACAATTGGTAACACACTACGCCGTGAAGGACTGAAATCCTGCAGCGCCCACAAGGTCCCCGTGCTCAAGAAAGCACATATACATGCCCGTTTGAAGTTTGCCAATGCACATCTGAATGATTCAAGAGGACAACTGAGTGAAAGTGTTGTGGTCAGATGAGACCAAAATGGAGCTCTTTGGCATCAACTCAACTCGCCGTGTTTGGAGGAGGAGGAATGCTGCCTATGACCCCAAGAACACCATCCCCACCGTCAAACATGGAGGTGGAAACATTATGCTTTGGGGGTGTTTTTCTGCTAAGGGGACAGGACAACTTCACCGCATCAAAGGGACGATGGACGGGCCATGTGCCGTCAAATCTTGGGTGAGAACCTCCTTCCCTCAGCCAGGGTATTGAAAATGGGTCGTGGATGGGTATTCCAGCATGACAATGACCCAAAACACACGGCCAAGGCAACAAAGGAGTGACTCAAGAAGAAGCACATTAAGGTCCTGGAGTGGCCTAGCCAGTCTCCAGACCTTAATCCCATAGAAAATCTGTGGAGGGAGCTGAAGGTTCGAGTTGCCAAACGTCAGCCTCGAAACCTTAATGACTTGGAGAAGATCTGCAAAGAGGAGTGGGACAAAATCCCTCCTGAGATGTGTGCAAACCTGGTGGGCAACTACAAGAAACGTCTGACCTCTGTGATTGCCAACAAGGGTTTTGCCACCAAGTACTAAGTCATGTTTTGCAGAGAGGTCAAATACTTATTTCCCTTATTAAAATGCAAATCATTTATAACATTTTTGACATGCGTTTTTCTGGATTTTTTTGTTGTTATTCTGTCTCTCACTGTTCAAATAAACCTACCATTAAAATTATAGACTGATCATTTCTTTGTCAGTGGGCAAACGTACAAAATCAGCAGGGGATCAAATACTTTTTTCCCTCACTGTATATAAAAATAACATTGTTAGATCCTTAAGTTGGAACTCATTTCAAATACGTGTTAATCTTATGAATAACAGGTATTTCAAACCGTTCCTTCTAAATGTAAATGTATTACCTCCAAAACTTAACACTATCATCAAGGTTCCTTCTTACAATGAAGATATGAAAATGGTTTCAGGTTATTGGTATTGTAAGGGTTGATGTACCTTGTAAGCAAATTGGTCATAGACCATGACCCAGAAAAGGTCTTTAACCTTAAAAAACACATTACATTGTTATATTATGATGAGAGAATACAGGTAAAGTGAGTGGTATGCTCCGTATTCGGAAGTCAATCCCCAACGTAAGTAATTAGTGTTAAACGTACCCAAGGTATGCATTACTTCCATAACACGACATTCTTATAAGATACAAATTACTTTAATATACTAGAGGGTTGGCACACTCAAAAGCACACGCATCACATATTGCCTGACATGTCTAAAACATGGCTTAATCAATCAAATCGTCAACTTGAAAAGTCAATGGTGATAACACTGCCATCTAAAGAGTCTTTTTGTTGCATAACAAACGTCACATTTTTTTTTTATAAAACGAGAGGTATTCAAGCACAGGATTTGTAAAACCCAATACTGTACTGAAATTTGTTGGTGCAATTAGCTCCCTTTTCAAAACTATGGGGTTGTTTTCCCACTTTCCTTTTCGCCTCAACGACTCCCAACCATGTCCCATGATGGCGAGATGTTAACTACCTCGCCTGGTACACAGGAGATCGTGGGTTCGATTACGACCCCCGACGCCTGTATATTTGGAGTTTGCATGTCTCATTTTTTCCGTGGTCGCATAGACTCTTCTCCGAGTCCTCTGGTTCTTCCCTACACATTTAGAAACATGCGTTTAGACTATATGGCTGCTATAAGTTTCCACGTAAGCCCCTTCGTTGTGCTGTTGTTTGTGATTGCCAGGTTGCTTCTGAAAAAAACTACGTGGCTCAGTGAGCCCTATCTGGTAAAACTGTTTTTTATAGTTTTTAAAAAATTCAACTCTGTCTCCTACAAAGTTCAAAAAGGGTATTTTTTCAGATAGTCTGCGCATTTTATGCAGCGGTGGTCAAATTAAGAAGGCATAATTGTGATACTCAGTGAATTATATTGACTCGCAAACACTTCACTAACACGACACCCCGATTACATCGATCGATGCCTTTCTAATTTAAGCTCATCCAATACTGTAGGGCAAAGACAATCACAGCAATAGCTTCCAACACATTTAATAAATGTTCTCACTCGAGGTCGGAAGAGAATGGAATACGTTTCTCATATCTCTTTGTTTCCCTTCAGTAACAAACTGTTTTCACAAGGAACCGGAGTGTTTTGATCACTACACAGGACTTTTGATTTAAAGCTTTCGTGACAGCAGGGATTCATATTCTTGGTTCTTTCGGTAAAGTCATGTAAAAGGGAAACAATAATAAAAAAATATATTTTATTGTTTCCCTTCTACACAGGACTTACTTAAATGAAGATCAGCAGCTGCGCTCATCATCTTAACATTCACCAAATTCCCAAACTCCCTTAGAAAACCAACCTTTCACGACACCTTACACTGCATGACTCGGGAGGATGCTGTGCAGCAAATGCCATGAAATATTTTCTCAAGTCCGTGGGAAATGTGACGATTTCAATCCATCCAGATATCACGGAGTCCGCTATAAAATAACCGTGATTGCACAGTGTCCCACGGAAACGCAACAATCACAGCTTTCCATATGTTTGAGGTCTACTTTTTAAATTGTCCACCTTGTCTTCCTTCACGTCTTGCAGTTTCACAAATTGACGACGGTTAACATTGTCGGTATATTTTTTTTGGGGGGGGGGGGGGGGGAGTCTCGGTGGTATATTTATAAAATCACTGGATAATAATAACAACAATAATAAAAGTTATATCCCCGATTCACAGCACGAATACGAGATGGGAGATTGTTTAAAAGGACGCATGCAAAGCTCACATTTCCATTCGAATGACGAGAAAAGGGAAACTCGGGGCATCAAGGGTTTGCTGGCTGGTCCTGTCACAGAAGTCATCACCCCCCCCCCCCCCGCTGACACCGACCAATATTACGCACACTCACTGTCGACATCAATCATCGCAAGTGGTATCAGCCGCCTTCACGGATGGTCAAGGACCGACAAGATCCCTCATAAACTGGTGGCTGAAAATGAAGCACCCACACACGCCGCCCACACGCAGAGGACATCTGAAAGATGCCCTCAGCAGTCGCTGTTCCTCAGGCTGACCGCCAGCACCAGACACTGCAGGACGGCGAACACAATCGAAGTCTCCACGATGTAGGTCCTCATGAGCGTGAACACGAAGGACAGCCCGTACACGGACACCAAAAAGATGGCCATGCCGTAGAGGCCATACTTGAGGACGCCTCCTCCCAAGCCCAGCACGTCCAGGATGACCCGAAGCGCGGGGGAGCAGAGCCCGAGAAAGAAGAGCAGCAGGGTGTCGAAGGAGTGCCTCAAGAAGTTGAAGCAGATATCGTAGCCGTGGTCGGGGCCACCTTTCGCTGTGGACGCGACGCGCATCCTGTCGCCGAGGTAGAAGGTCCTTCTCTTGGCCTTCGCGGTGGATCCAGCGGAGGTTTCGGCCGCTGGACAGGTGAGCTTTTGTCCACCGTGAGCTCCATCCGCAGCAACACCGCCACCAACTCCAGCAGTAGTAGGAGCGGCAGCAGCAGCTGCAGCACCAGGAGGGCCGACGTCACTTTCGCCAGCGGGAGCAGCAGTAGGGTCACCTGCACCACCAGCACCACCAGCGTTACGAGCAACAGGGCGACCACCACCATCACCACCGCGACCGCTTGCTCCACCTGCTCTTTCTCCACCAGCGCCAGCAGCAGCAACAACACCAGCACGGGCAGGAGTAGAGCGGCCTCCTCCACAGCTACCACTGCTGGTTGTACCAACTCCACTTCCACCTGCAGCAACAGCACCACCGCTAGCAAGAGCTGGGTCAACTCCTCCCCCACCACGACCACTTGCATCACCCCCTCCACCACCAGCAGTGGAAACAACACCAGCGCTTGCAAGAGAGCGGCGACCTCCACCACCACCTGTTACACCTTCTCCACTTCCACCAGCTGCAACAACACCAGCACTTGCAAGAGCCGGGTGACCTCCACCACCACCACCACCACCACTTGTAACACCTCCACCAGCAGCAGAAACAGCGCCAGCGCTAGCAAGAGAGCGGCGACCTCCACCACCACCTGTTACACCTTCTCCACTTCCACCAGCTACAACAACACCAGCACTTGCAAGAGCCGGGTGACCTCCTCCACCACCACCACCACCACCACTTGTAACACCTCCACCAGCAGCAGAAACAGCGCCAGCGCTAGCAAGAGAGCGGCGACCTCCACCACCACCTGTTACACCTTCTCCACTTCCACCAGCTGCAACAACACCAGCACTTGCAAGAGCCGGGTGACCTCCTCCTCCTCCACCACCACCACTTGTAACACCTCCACCAGCAGCAGAAACAGCGCCAGCGCTAGCAAGAGAGCGGCGACCTCCACCACCACCTGTTACATCTTCTCCACTTCCACCAGCTGCAACAACACCAGCACTTGCAAGAGCCGGGTGACCTCCTCCTCCTCCTCCTCCACCACCACCACCACCACTTGTAACACCTCCACCAGCAGCAGAAACAGCGCCAGCGCTAGCAAGAGAAGGGCGAACTCCACCTGCGACACCTCCTCCACTTGCACCGGCAGCAATGGCACCAGCAAGCGCTGGGTGACCTCCACCACCAAGGGCTCCGCTACCGGCACCAGATGCAACAGCACCAGCACTTCCGAGAGCTGGGTGACTCCCTCCACCAGTAGCGGAAACAGCACCAGCAAGAGCTAGGTGACCTCCTCCACCACCACTTGTAACACCACCACCAGCTGCAACAGCACTAGCAAGAGTGGGGCGACCACCACCACTTGTAACACCTCCTCCACCCCCAGCAGAAACAACACGTGCGTTAGGGAGAATAAGGCGACCTCCACCAGCAAGTGCTCCACCACCAGCAGTAGAAACAGCACGAGCTAGATAAAGAGTAGGTCGACCTCCACCACCACCAAGTGCTCCACCACCAGCACTAGCAAGAGAAAGAGTAGGTCGACCTTCCCGACCAAGTGCTCCACCAGCAGGAGAAACAGCACCAGCAAGAGAAAGAGTTGGTCGACCTTCCCGACCAAGTGCTCCACCAGGAGGAGAAACAGCACCAGCAAGAGAAAGAGTTGGTCGACCTCCACCAGAAAGTGCTCCACCACCAGGTGAAACAGCACCAGCAAGAGTAGGTCGACCTTCCCGACCAAGTGCTCCACCAGCAGGAGAAACAGCACCAGCTAGAGAAAGAGTAGGTCGACCTTCCCGACCAAGTGCTCCACCAGCAGGAGAAACAGCACCAGCAAGAGAAAGAGTTGGTCGACCTCCACCAGAAAGTGCTCCACCACCAGGTGAAACAGCACCAGCAAGAGTAGGTCGACCTTCCCGACCAAGTGCTCCACCAGCAGGAGAAACAGCACCAGCAAGAGAAAGAGTTGGTCGACCTTCCCGACCAAGTGCTCCACCAGCAGGAGAAACAGCACCAGCAAGAGAAATAGTTGGTCGACCTTCCCGACCAAGTGCTCCACCAGCAGGAGAAACAGCACCAGCAAGAGTTGGTCGACCTCCACCAGCAAGTGCTCCACCAGCAGCAGGAGGAACAACACCAACACGAACAAGGGCTGGGAGACCTCCACCACCATCACCATCACTTGTTACAACTCCTCCACTTCCACCGACAGCACCAACAGCAGCACTGGCACGAGAAGGGCGACCTCCACCACCAAGTTCACCGCTCGCAGCACTCGCTCCAGGACCAATACCGGCATCAGTAGCAGATGGACGATGACTGCCATCTCCACTTGCTCTTCCAGCAGCACCAGCAGAAGTAGCACCAGCAGCGCCGCTTTGAGCCGCAGCTGCCGTCTTGATGTCCATCCTCGGGTGTTAGGAAGCAAGACGTGCAGGTCGGTTGGGCAGGTGACTTCGGGAACCGGATTAAAGTCCAAAACCTCTCCGGCTCCGGCCGGTCAGCACAATAACAACGCGGTCACGGAGAGAAATCACGAACGTCCAAATCGATCGGAGCGGCTCGCCCGAGCAATCCGTGAGAAACGTCGCCGTTGTCTTTCACAGCAACCTTGCCCGCCTCTCGTCACGCGTCCACGTCCGTGCCACGCTGGATTCCCAGGACAGCCTGGGGGCTGGCAAGCGCCTGATTTTCTCGCCCCTTTTGTTGCGACGCAGCCTACACAAGAGGAGAAAAGAGCCCCAACGCCACCGCCACTCCCACCTTCCTTCCGGCGTGCGAGGTTACCGAAATCTCGTAAAAATGGGCTCGATTTTACAACAACGACAAAAAAAGTCTCCTCTGCGGGCGCAATTGTCTGCTGCTGCTGCCACGCAGATGGGTCGCTCTTCTCAAGCAGGCGACCTCTCTATATAGCCTGACGTCAACCACACGGGCTCAAGAATAACACGCCCAGCGCGTTCGTTCTTCATCTTCCAGGCCATACAAAACTGGACTGGTTTTTGTTTTTACACACGCCAGCCAATGCGTTGTTTTCTTGGATTATACTGCCACCGCGCGGTGAAGGAGAGAAACTCTGGGATTCACTGTCGTGTGTGTGTGTGCACCTGGTCAGACAGAGAGATTCCGTGGCTCGATCTCCATCCATCCCAATCAGTCTCGTGTCTGCACCTCATTGCGACACTGCAACTCAGTGCTGGGTGGGCCATTGCCATGGAAAGCTGTCGGTCGGATTTACGCAAATCGCATCCTGGTAGGATTTGCGGTGTCTCCTTCCGACTGTGATACCGTAACATCTGAATTATTGACTGCACTCATATTTAATTTGTAGAGGCGTATAGACGATATAGCATGTGATACTACACTGTAAAGTACATGTGGAGGTTTTTCACTGTATATTAAAGCTTTGGCAGAGTGAGCAACACTTGCGACTAATGTCACACAGGCTCTTCTTGAGTGTCCCTTGACAGCAGATGGCCTCACATGATTGAGAAGCAGTCCCTCCGAGGATTGCTCAGACGTTTCAGTAACGTGTTGTTGTTGTTGAGCATGTACATGCACGACTTGTGTGGCTATCTGCTGCTGGCTGAGAGCCTCCCCACGCCTTGCAGGGCCGTGAGGGATATCTCAAGATGAGATTTAAATTCCCTCGCCTGGTATACAGGAGGCCGTAGTTCGATCCCGACCCTGACGCCTGTATATTTGGAGTTTGCATGTTGTCCTCGTGGTCGCGTGGATATTCATCCGGGTCCTCCGGTTTTTCTCTCCACATTTAGAAACAACGTGCGCTTAGAGTATTTGGTTGCTTTATATTTCCACGTGATAAGCCACTTCCGTTGGGCTATCATTTGTGGCCAGGTCGCTTCTGAAAAAGCGCTGTATAGCTCAGTGAGCCCTACCCTAATAAAACATTTTAAAAGTTTTTTTTATTGTAATAGTATCGTAAAATACATTAATAAAGTTATATTCTAATTAGCTTTGTGCCTCTCTAGCCCTCATTTTGCCACCCACTTCATTGTTCAACATGTCATTTTTATGCATGGCCTACTACGTACACATTATTATTAGTTGTACGCAAAAGGTACACAAAACATAACACAACATAATCGTGAGCATCCTTGTGGAGAATGAGATCTGAGAGCCATCACTGCGGGATGAAGGCCTCCTCATGGTGCCCAATTCCTTATCAAAATATATACTGGAGGAATCCGATGAGCTATAAAGCTCTTTTTAACAGATGTCCAGTAGGGGCAGGTCAGAATGTTACAACAAACAATACAATTACACGACAGGAGTGCAAAGTATAGTAAAGGTTAAAAAAAGAAATCACGTACAAATATATACCAATAAAACTTAACTCTTTTTTATCTTACCGGCTAAGGCTCGCCGAGCTATTAGCGTCTTACGGTCCTGTGATTCCATCGTTCCGTGCCTACAGTGGTCATTCTGCCACTGGTGACCCCTATTTACGTGTCCTGCCCAAGCATCTTTCCTTCACGGTCGATGTCTCCGATGAGCGGTTGTCGCAACAGTTGACAAGAGTGGCCGTGGTGGCTTTGATGTGGCGTCGCGGTGGTAAGCTGCTAAACAGGTCGTGGGTTCGATCACGACCCTGACGCCTGCTATTTGGAGTTTGCATGTTCTGCCCGTGGGCGTGTGGCTGCTTCTCCGAGGATTCCCTCCACGTGTAGAAACATTTGTTGAGAGTATTTGGCTATCAATTTCCACATAAACCACTTCATTTGGACTATCGTTTTTGTCAGGTCGCTTCTGAAAAAGAGCCATATAGCTCTGGACCTTACCTGGTTAAATGTTTTCTTAGATGTCTCGGTTGGACTGGAATCAAACAGGCTCCATGCTGTGCGTGCTACCTGCAGAACGTTAACACTCTTGCATGAATGTTCTATAGCTCTACCACCTCCTGTTAAGAACAAGACACCTGTCGGTCCACGACTGAAGGCCTCCTGATGCCATGTCAGTAACGGGGGTTGTTTGACCATACCTCACCATGCCGATTCGTGCTGGATGAAGGGAGGTGCAGGCGATGTTCGCCATGGCCGGGAATCAAACTCCCAAGTTCTTTCCACAGTGCGTTAACCACGACGGCACTGATCCACCGCTGACAGCCCACAGCAAAGACAAAAATCCCCTGTACAGCCTTAACAGACCATTGGAGCAAGTGCTGTGAGCGAGCACCTCCAAGTTCGGCACGGGCGCACGAAGGGTTGGTGTGGCCAGTTGCACGCTCGGTCGGCCGCCTTTGTCTTCCTCGTGGAGATTTTTACACATCGCACCAGGTAACGGTTCAGATGATCGTTACTGTTTTTGGTGGCCATGAGCGGAAATCGAATTCGGGTCGCCGAACAGCGCATCGCGGTAACGACTACATTACCACTTCCCACACTACACTGTCTCGACTGTTCACAAGAAACACAAAGACAAGCAACAACCACGTTCTTTTTTTCCGTCAAAGCACATTTGAAAAGGTTTAGTGTTCAGTGAAGCTCGTTTTTAACCTCCCGACAACCGTTGTGTTTCCAAAAAGCACGCTTGTATTAAACATTGCAAAATTCACTGTAAAGTAAAAATGTAAGATGTTTATTTTGCGGTATGCCATAACATAACAATTATTCGGATGTGACGAACGTTACGAACTTTATCAAGTACAAAATTACATAATGCAGCATTTAAGGGAAACCCCCATTCTTTCAGAGGTTTGGGAAAACAAATCATAAATGTTAATTAACTAATTTAACATTTAAATAGAATTCAATGTACTTATCTATTTTTTCAGAAAGGAGAAACATTTTAAGTTTGGTTTGAGTACATTCACTTTTTTGCTCGAAATATCTAAATCTGGTCATGTTCGTGAATTATTCAATCATGTATATAAATCGTGTAATTGGGGATCAGTCTAAGAGAGCATTATGTATAGTTGTGTAAGTTAGAGTCACCTGGGAATATGATGTTTATTTCAAGGTGCTCAAGATTTTATTTAAACTTCACAATGAATACAAACCCAGCAATTAAGTGACTTACAAAGAGCCAGCATCTGGTGTATCGAACAGCAATATTGTTTATACAATTACGACCTATCAATACATTTAATATTTTACACAACTGTCTATAGCCTTCTGATACATCTCTGTAGTGGCTAACTTTCACCCTGCAGTTTAGGATGGGCGTCACATGCAGGTGACTTTCCCAGTTGCATGATGTCAAGTTTCCACTGCTGTACACGTATCTTAAAGAGTTTGTATTTTCCTTCACAACATCATTAGGCAGTCCTCATAAATGCAGGCATGATTTTCACGAAAATTTCCCAGCCTGAGGAGGTGGTCCCAGGAATCCTCCAGCTTGCTTGGTGGCAGCACGCGAAGGAGCCAGTCCCAACAGCTTCTGGATGTTCTGGCGGTGAGAAGTGCAAGCATTACCCCCATCATCATTATCCAAAACTCTTTCAAATTAACAATACTGGCAAATGAAATAGAAAGGCGTATATTCATTTTCTGCATATGCTTGCAATATTGCCACCTTGTGTATATATGTAGAGTGGACACAAACACAGTGGATGAACGAAACAGAAACAGGCAATTTCTTTGCATGATAAATAATTCAGCCCATTGTCAATCCACTACTGAATGAAGATCATCCCATGCTTTTTAACCATTTCAGGCATTTCACTATACTTCACACGGCTGGTCAATATAAACAGTTGAGCACCACTTCACTGGTTAACCACTGTCCACCAACACCAACGAACGGGCTGTCAAGGATAACTGTTCCGTTTCGGGAAACAGGAAGTGACTCGAATTAACATGGCAAGTGTGGCAACTTTCATTTTAATACACCGAAAAAACTTCCCCGTACAAATGTTTCATTCTGATGCCATTTGCATGGGGGACTGCATGTTTAGAGTCATGAGTGTCATGCTGCGATACCATTCCCTAATTGTGCAAAGGCCGTCCATAAATGACGTCACGCACCTGGGGGGGGGGGGTCAGACATTTGTGACGATGTGTGACGAGGGGGGGGGTTTGAGAAATGTGACGTCACGTAAAAATGCGCAACTTTAAATAAATATAGAATTGTTATAACAACACTAATTTTGATTTAAAGCTTTCGTGACTGCAGTAATTCATATTCTTAGTTCTTTCGGTAAACCCACGTTGAAGGGAAACAATAAAATAATAAAATATATATAAAACAATAAAAATTGTTTTATATAACACATAGGCAGTGAACTCAAGCACGTACACCAAGCTCTTAAGGCTAATGGTTACTCCGACTATACAATCCGCAAAGCTATCACTCAAACCATGAAGAAGGACCCTCTTGAGGAGCCTTTCAAAACCATCACTTTACCCTACATTGCAGGGATCACAAAAAAGATCTCCAAAATCTTGAATAAACACAAGATCCAGGTCCGTTTCAACACATTACATAAAATCCGTGATCTGGTTCCGTCTGTAAAAGATGTGATTCCGGACATACCATACCCTGGTGTCTACAAACTAAGTTGCCTCTGTGGTAGTAGTTACATTGGAGAAACCAAACGCCATGTCTCAGACCGCATTCGTGAACACAAAGCAGACCTTAAACACGGTAGGACCAACACCTCGGCCGTGGCAGATCATTGTTATAATTCAGTAGGCTCACATGACATTGACTTTTCCAAGACAGAGGTTCTTTGTAAGCCATCTGGCTACCATGAGAGATTCGTTCATGAGGCTATCCACATATACAAGCACAGAGACAATTTCAACCGAGAAGATGGATTCTGGCTTAGCAATCATTGGAAAGATTTGATAAACCATTTCAGGTCTTAATTGATTGTTCACGCTTACAGTGGCTTTCAGACAGCATACATTAAAATTTTTCGTCTCCCCCCTCCTCTTTTCAGAACATAGATGGACTAGTCCTTCTAAATAAACTGCCAAATCTCTGCGTGTGGCGCTAACGTTTTTATAAATAAATAAATACACCGTTTAAAAATAAATAAATTTATGCAAACCGACACACCTGATGACGACCGTTTGTGTTATGGTCGAAACGTCGTGAGAATTTTTGTTATATATATTTTATTATTTTATTGTTTCCCTTTAACGTGACTTTACCGAAAGAACTAAGAATAACAACACTAATTGTTATAACAACACTCCTACAACATCAGAGTACAGCGCCACAATAAATACGCACTACAATGACAATAGTTTAAAGCGATTTGAAGCATGTTTTATTTTCAAAATGGAAATATGGTTTTGGGGGGGGGGGCAGAGCTTTGTGACGTCATATTTGAGGGGAGGTCTGACTTTTTGTGACGCCGTGTGACGAGGGGGGAGATCAAGGGGGGGTCAAAAATCGTCCAAAATCGTGTGACGTCATTTATGGACGGCCCCCAATGGCAAAAAGAATGTCTTTTATATTGTTGCGAACGGAGCTACAGGTGACCAATTCCACCTGCAGCTCTTTTGGAGACGCCGAGGTGAAAGCAGCGCATGAGTCAAGGTCCACGAATTGCTTCTCATAAAAAGTAATTGTTTCTCATAAAGACGAGAAACAATTATATTTGGACAAGTAGAAGTTATTCAACTTACACTAAGAAAAATGTACCCCGAGCTGAGGAACGTCTCAAACATCTTCATGTAAACACAGCGTAGGTGTAATATGATGCAACGCTATTTTAAATGGGAGGCCTCCCCTCCAGTAGTAAGCCAGAATGAAGTGAATATGACATAGCGCATTACCGGATTCTAATAACGGCAAAGAAGACAATGTGGGGTCTGTCCCAGTGACTCGTTAGGAGAGTGGTGCTCTCTACTTCCCACACGACTGCAGTCCACATTTAAAGAGAGAGCTTTGAGGGCTGAAGCTCTGGTTGGGGAGGTCACTACACAATTTCATTCAACCAAGAGGCACATTTGGGCGAAGGAATACAATATACAGGTAACGGGTACGAGTAATTGGTCAACTTTGTCTGCTTTCTCGTGTCTCCATTTGATTTTGAAAAATATAATTATTGAAAACGTGATGCGTTTGAATTGTGCGCCAACTTCTATACACACTTAAGTTTCAAAATAATAACCTGGCGGATGGACATGGTGCAGAGGATGTAGAGGAAGATGAAAGAGCAGTCCGTGTAGTCCTCTCCCAAGAGGTTTCGGTGGGAGAGTCCCTGTAGCCACGAGAATGGCACGAACGGGAGCTTGGCCACGACGCGGCCCTCAAAGCTGCTCTCAAACAAAGACAAAGATCCCCCCCTTCAGCATGCAACAGACTGCTGGGGCAAGTGCTGTTAGCGAGTAGCACCTATGGGGGCCAGCACGGCACACGAGGGGGTGGGTGGCCAGCACCACACCCGGCCGGCCACCTTTGTCCCCCAAGTAGCAACGTTTACACATTGCACCAGGTACTCGTTTGAGGCCCGAGTCGACCGAGGGGAGGCCCAGGACCGGTTCAGAAAATCGTCACTGGTGTTTGGCCGTGAGCAGGAATCGAATTTGGGTTGCTGGGCTCGTAGCGCTGCGCGCTAACCAGTACACTCCCGCTCCCCACAAAGCTGCGCTCAAAAACGCGCACATGTGAAAGTGAAATACACAAAGGGCCTCCAACCACCATAGCTGCAATTGAAATACGTGTCAATTGTCTACGAAGCTATAAACGACAGGGCAAAACTGCTAAGGCCTGTAGGTGAGAATAGCATGGTTGGCTACGTACGGTGCGAAAGACGTTCAACATATATACAGATTCACACTTTGGTGAGGAGCCCGAAAGCCTGGCAGACTGCTCCTTCTCAGTATAGCCAACAAGTGAAACACACCCTTATCTTTTTTAGTATACAGACCTTCATCTCAATGCCCTGATATGTTTTTACAACTTTTAAATAGGAAAGCCTCACCTCTCTACCCCATACTCGTTGATGTCAGCAAGTGTCCTGTTAATGAAGAGTTCCACTGAGCCATTTCCTTGACCATGGAAACTTATGATGTCATCTTTGGGATTATCCCATGTTCATTTACAAATAAAAGCTAAAAGATGAAATCATAAATAATACAAGGGTATCCTATGCCCATAAAATAAAAATTAGTTCCATCGGCGTTTTTGGCATCTGGACCAAAGTTTTTCAGCAGCAATTTGTTTTAAATGCCCGTGGCCAAATCAGCCAAAATGCATCATAATCTTGTAAATTATAATAAGCTAAGCAGAGTTGAGCCTGCATTGTGCGTGGATGAGAAACCACCTGAAACAAAAAGGTTTTGGTCATAGGGCGGCAGAGCTACGTAGTGGGCAGCAGTGCAGCAAAATTCGTTAATGCTTCGAATTCTTTGCTCTTTTCCTTCCCCAACCTTCACTGACTGGAGTGGTGAAGTGTGATCAAACAGCCCTCATGACCCGCACGGCACGCAGTGGATTGATGAAAGCGCCGTACATGTGCATTTGTTTAAACTGTGCAAGCTTTGGGACCGATTTCAACTTTGAGTCCCATTGGCAGGGTGGGCCTGCTGATATTAATAGAAGCTCAAGTAACTCAAAACCACTTACATGGAGTTGAACATGCCCATGAGCGCTGTGAAGCAGAATCCAATGGCGAGCATAGACTTCATGCGAACCTGCAGGGGCAAACGCCTTCACGTGACGCCAGATTTGAGCCGCTTTGCAGTGTTCATCACAGCCGCTGAAAATATTCTCACCGCCTGAATTTAAAACCGTCAATTTCTAGAACCTTCATGAGCTCACAGTTGCGACGTTTAATCGATTAAAAATGTGTCTTTGCGAACTTTTAAAATGTTCATGCGAGTATCAAGACATTAAGCTTAAAATGTACAGAAGCCACCACAGTGGCATTTCCCTTAAGTAAGCACTGTTTGATAGTCTGCAGTGTAACAGCCGGTAATGTTGACCTAAAAATAGAGTCTTCTCCTATAACGCGTGTTTTCATAACACGAATTGGACATAACGTGATGAATGTATTCGAAAGCACCTTTTTTTATGAGGATGCAAATTGGATATAATACGATCGAGTGAACAGAACTAGGAATAAGCAGTTCTACGGATGCCTCGGCGTAGCATCACACAAGGCGGGATTGCTGTTGGACGCTGCACACGCACCTCAGTCTTTTGTTCAGCCTGCGTATGCATCTCAAGTGTTATTGCGGATTGTGCTTTACCCTGTTATATATGATTTATTATACCGCGGTGTTCTTCAGAAACGCGTTATAGGAGAACAGACTGCACTATGTTTTTTTATTTACAATATACCAAACAAGGCCTGAGCAGCTTTCACACAAGTTGCATTCTGTGTAGACACTTGCACGCTTACATTTTCCCTTGACGCCCTAAAAAAATGTCAACTTCACGGTTTCAAAAAGAGAAATTAACATTGTGCAATGCGGCCGGAGGTGAATGGGGCCGATGGATTACCATGGAAAGATCCCGATTGTTGTTCTTGAGTTTCTCTTCTTCCCTTTCTGCACAACGCACCCAGGGTTAATGAACAGCCGTTTATAGAGCAGCGTCCAGATGTTCTTGGAAGTACTGATAAGTGTCGCGTTCACATGGGTCACATGATGTTAGCACACAGAGAGGCAACTAAGTGTGCATGGATGTGAAAAGGGAACCCACAGAAAAAAAAAAGCACAGGACCGACATTTTCAAATACAGATTAGGCTTGGCATGTACACAGAGGGAAATGTTTGTTGTAGCTCATTTGGTTTTGTCTATTGTTTTCAAAGGCAAATGTTAGGCACTTTGTGTATGAAAAGTGCCCGCGCCTCGTTTTTAGCCGCCTCATATTTAAGTAAAATTAAAATTGACTTCACTCAAGGCAAACATTAGTGAATAAACACGTGCCTATGTTAACATGAGATGGTACTCCTCCAGAGATGAGATAAATCACATTTGTTGTACTGCATCTCTGTGCCGCTACTATAACAAATATCCAGGAAGTTAGTAGGTAAAAAAAACCCAACTCAGACATATTGTTCAAGTGTAAGAAATCTAATTAAATTTTAATAAAAGCTACTTTTCCTTACTCAATCAGCAAATTTCATGTCGACATGGATCTTTGTTAGAATAAAAAAAAACATTACAATGTTGGAAAATAAATGTTAGGTCAAACAACCGCCATGACCACCAAGAATTGCGTGAAAAGGTCTTCAACCGGCAGTGGCCTGACAAAGGGCCTAAGTATTTCGCACTGCGCGAGTGGTTTATAATAATTATCTAATCAGTAACCCTCGTGAGTGGCTGCCAGGCCGCCCAGTGGAGCTCTCCGATTGGTGCTCGAGATGCAAGTTGTCATACGCACCAATTTTCTTCTTCTGCTGTTTTCCCGCTGACTCCGTTATCGTCTCTTTCCGCTTCTCCACTGACAAAAAATGGAACAAAGTACAATCGTTGTCATGGGGTGGCGGGGTGCAGATAATTAATCAAAACCCACAGGCATTTAAACAAATAACCCCATCATCACCACAATACACACAATGTGATGCTTACAATAGTGATTTATTCAGTATTAAAAATGTTATTCTCCCACCTACTTTTCCCTCACTAAATTTTAGTCTCTCCATTAAAATAACATTTCCCTTCCTGCCCACGATCTCCTAATGCGTATGCCTTACTTCATGTACAGCATCTTGGGATGTGGTCGCATCTTAATTTAAATTGTATTGCAACAGTGTTGGCTTAAAAATACCTCCAGCTCTGTATACTGGGGTGTACAACTTTGCCAAATGTATATTTAACGGTAGACAGTCATTTTATATTCATCATCATCATCATTACTATGCCTGTTAATCCAGACAAGTCTCACAAAGTTTCATGACTCGTTTTCAGTAAGCTCCTGCCAAGTTTTTGCAATCAGGGCGTTATGATTGCTATGTATAATCATAGCCAACTTGTGGCCAATTTTCTAATGTTATGGAGACACTAACACTATAATGTCCTACTTTAAACATGTTCTTTAGAATTATGTTGAACTTATTTCACACTATACGTAGCCAACCACACTAATCAGAGGTGCAGGCAAGGACAACAAACTAAACACAAAAAGCAGTTCTAAACAAATTAGTTTTCAATCTAGATTTAAAAGATCATAGCCTCCCAGTGGCTTCTTAACATCGGTAGGAAGAGCAATCCAGACAGCCGCAAAAGTGCATCCGATGGCTCGTCAAAATCCATTGCGTGGACTACCAGAGTTTGCGCGATCGTTTATGCTACTTGTACTGTAATTGTCATTCCACCACGAACGCCCCCCAGCGTGTAAACTGATGCATGGCTGCCAGTGTACTCACATTTTTTGCTTTGTTTCTCCACCTCTGCTTTTAGCTTCTTGTACTTCTCTGTCCTGTACACGAGGGCCCAGGTGATTCCTGCGTGAAAGAAACCATGGTCATATTCTTAGTTCTTTCGGTAAAGTCACGTTGAAGGGAAACAACAAAATAATAAAATATAAAAAATGGAACTTTTATTAATTTGACTTCGCAGAGGATAAAGCAACAACTGGTGACATTCACACACGCAATCAGACTCGACTAAAAGTTATGATATGTAATCAGTGTTACAGATACCTTCAATCTAATTCAGTGGTTCTTAACCTTGTTGGAGGTACCGAACCCCACCAGTTTCATATGCGCATTCACCGAACCCCTCTTTAGTGAAAAATAAAATGTGATTTTTTTCAAATTCAAGACATAGATATGTTTTTTACTGGTACACAAAATGAGCCGTGCATGAACATTACCTTGTTCAAAGAATAAAACCAACACAATGCATAAACTCACAACAAATTACATACCTGGAAATCAATGTGACTTCTGCTGTTGCCTTTGAGAGATCAGTTCAGATATGCGTGGCTTCACCTTGGCAAGTGCCACTCTCATGTCATTTTCACAGCAAAGTCTGTTCCTTTTCTTCGTTTTTATGTCCAGCATCCTCGAAAAGGATTGCTCACAAAGATATGTTGTAACAAATGGTATAAAAAAAATCCAGGGCTTTCTTAGCAATAACTGGATACTTGTTCATTTGTCGACACCAAAACGTTGAGAGCGTTGTTGTTCTGAAGAGTTGCTGTTGAACCTGGCTCTGCTGAATTTCAATGATTTCGTCGAGGAATTCATCATTGACATCTGCTGTTTCAACAGCAAACGTGAACGGCTGTCTCACCCATGCTGGATATGACTCTCTTGTAGGGAAATATCCGTCGAGAGACTTTGCAAGCTCATCTAAGTGCGTGGCAATTGTTTGCTTCAGTTCCGTGGATACAGAAATATCTCCGATTCCAGACACATCTTCGATCTTACTTGCACAGTCGTCCAGAAGCGGGAAGTTTGCGAAGTTATTGTTCTCTGTTCGTCGTTTCCATAACGGTAGCTTTTTTTGAAAAGCCTTCAGGTGTTCTTCCGCTTCCATGATATTGACTCCACCACCCTGCATCTGCTGATTGAGATGATTGAGAGCTGCGAATATATCAGCCATGTACGCTAAAATGAGAATGAACTCAGGATTTTTGAAGCAATCTGCATGGCAGTGTTGGTGCTCTTGCAAAAACAGGGCTAATTCCACACGCATGGCAAAAACACGATTCAGCACCTGTCCCCGGGATAACCACCGAATATTAGAATGGAGCAGAAGTACCTCAAATTCAGAGCCCATTTCTTTACACAGCTCACTGAAGATGCGGTGCCTCAGAGCACTTTTTCGCACATAGTTCACACATTCCACCACAGTTTTTAATACTTCTGTCATTTTTGGAGGTAAGGTTTTTGTTGCCAACGCATGCCTGTGCAGAATACAATGCGTCACAATGATGTGTGGTGCATCGGCCTTTACTAGCGCACCAAAACCAGACTTTCTTCCCAGCATGACTGGAGCTCCGTCCTTACAAACTGCAGAAACCATATCCCATGAAAGATTGTTGTCTCTGAAGAAGTCATCCACAAGCTTCTTCACATCGGCTGCCTTCGTTGTTGTTGTAAGAGGCTTACAAAATAAAAACTCTTCTTTTATCATGTCGTCTTTCACATAGCGTACAAAAACAGCAAGCTGGCTTAGATCAGAAACGTCTGTGGTTTCGTCGAGTTGAAGGCTGAATTTTGCCGGGCTTGAAATCAGATCCGCGACTACTTGAGCCAAGATGTCTTTACTCATGTCTTCTATTCTGTCACTGACTGTGTCATTTGAAAGGGGAATTTGGGATAATTTACCTTCGGCCGCTGTTCCGAGTATCAGATTCGCCATCTTTAATGCAGCTGGTTTCACAAGTGTTTCACTAATGGTGTGTGGCTTGCCCTGCTTTGCGATCAGGTAAGCAACTTCGTACGATGCTGTCAGGATCGGTTTGTTAACAGGTACAAATCCAAGAGCAGGCAGAGTGGCCCTTTCATCGAATCTGGCTCTCTTCACCCTGAATTCAGCAAGTGTTGTGTTCTTGTATTCCCCGTCTCCATGCAGCTTCAAGAAGTGTTCCTTTAGTTTTGCCGGTGCAAGACTAGAGTTGCTCAACTTGGCGTTGCAAATCATGCAGATAGGACACTCACTCCCATCACGTTCCGTGATACATGAGAATCCATGTTGTACATATTCGTCCGACCACTTTCTTCTTTTGCCCGACATAGTTAGTATGGATAAAATATTAAAGAAATCACACGACGTACGACAACAACAGTCACACGTTGACTACTGAGTACGCACTAAATTCCCCGCAGCGCTGATTGGCCAAGCAGTGTAGCATGATCATCTGCAGCCAGTGATGGCCAAGCGGGCCGTGTGTGTCATCACAAATTTACACAATAATTCAAGTGTGTCCGGACCTCCGTGGCGGGGGCTCTGCCGAACCCCTGAGATCGACTCACCGAACCCCTGGGGTTCGATCGAACCCAGGTTAAGAACCACTGATCTAATTGGACAAAACGTTCGCCATTTCTGTAATTTTTCAACGAATCCCGTGTTCATCAATTATCATTCCTATTTTGTTTAAAAAGCTTTCCCATTAAAAACAAAGCTTATACTACGTGGGGTTATAAAAAAACAGGGCTTGATGGACCGATGACGATGAAACCATCAGCATGCAACAAAATGATCGTTGATCCAACATTCCACGCAAATATTTTCACATTTGTGGGCAATGTCTGAGAAAGTCTAAGTGGTTCAACAAGCCACGGTACACTGTTATTATTTGTTTTGATTTATTATTGTTTTGTATGATTGCTATTTATTTTGCGCAGCATAAGAGATAGAATGTATGTGCTTGTTACAGTTGTGAGTACTGTGTATTTCACGTGAAAAAAAAATCTGGAAACAAAAACATTCCACAGCGTGAGCGACAAAACTGAATGAAGGCCATCGCCAAGTTAACTCCATTTCTATTTCATCGCGAGAATTTTTTCTGTTTATAAGACTGTGCAAAAATCTATGTACTGTACTTGGACAAAAGGGCACCAGACGCATGAAGCAAATCGATGATGAAAGTCGCCACACATCACTGTCTCTGAAACTAAATAAAAACGAAACCACCCTGTTAGCTGTAAAATAGTATCTCCTGTGGATAAATCAATGTCCGATAAGCCCCCGTGTGCTGGTCCTGGCGTGACTTACAAGGTCACAGCAAAAAAAACCTAATTATTTAATTATTGTATAATTATGAGAATAGGTTTTCCCCTTGTTTCTGGCAACAAAACAGGTGTTAAGATATTCTTGGTTCTTTCGGTAAAGTCACATAGAAGGGAAACAATAAAATAATAAAAAAAATTGTTTTATATTTTTATGCAGTCACGAAAGCTTTAAATCAGGTGTTAAGATGTTAAAACACCAAACTAAAACCTTTGACAAGGAATAATGTCTGCATTAACCATACTTGTGGTCAGAATGCAAACAAAAAAACACTGATAATATGATGCATTGTCTTTGAAACTGATTGGTCCACACCGCGGACAGCTTTCTTTTGAGCCTAGTCTCAAATGGTATTAGACCAGAGGATGCCAAAAGGCGTTTGAGACGAGGCTCAAAAGAAAGCTGTCTCTGGTGTGGACCAATTAGTTTCAAAGACAATGCATATATTATCAGAGTATGTTTTTTGTTTGCATTCTGACCACAAGTTTTGTGGTTAATGCAGAAATGATTCCTTGTAAAAGGCTTCAGTTTGGTGTTTTAACATCTTAACACGACTGTTTTGTTGCCAGAGAAAAGGGGAAAACCTATTCTCATATTTTGGTACTGGCAAAGGAGGTCCCATGATATTGTATACTTAATGCAGAAAAAAACCCTTCCAAAGCAAACCTACTTTGCATACATTTTATAATTAACACCTTTTTCTCTTGGTAAAACAAAAGCGCCCGGGCACCAAAGCACTGGATGCTTCATTAGGCCTGTTTGGTTTTCTGAATGGTAAAGCCAAGTGATTTACGCTGAGACAATGACATTCTTTTAGCCGGGGATTTATAGTTCAGTACTGACTGTAGAGACTTGTAGAGACAAAGGGATAATTGTGTTTTTTTTCTATCAAAACGCTTGTCCATTACTTTCACAGCGCATGACAAATTCTAATTCTTCGGCACCAAATGACCAGTGACTCATTTGGTCATTCAACTTTCAAACTGTGGAATTGCTCAACTTGTGAATAGCGGGCTTCATGCAGTACATTTTAAAAGCACCGCGGTATGCAAGTCCCATAATACATTTATGAAATATGTGCATTTGGTGCATGTAATTAAGCTCAGGGAAACTAACTTATATTGATTAAGCGATATAAAAAAACCCTAGTTGGCATGAATGGCCTTTTTTCTCCATTTTTATTTTCGTACTACTGATTTGTGGGCTGGCTTAAAAAAACCCAAACTCTTAACTTGATGCCTAAATACAGCTACATCCAACTATAGCATCTGCATATGCTCCATATACACAGATAAAAAAAGGCATTAGATATTTTTTAAAGATTGACTGCAAATTTACATAGTAATTTTTTTTTATCCCCTGTAGGTTGTAGCGCATCATTAACCGAGGCGGCAGGCGTGGCCGAGCGGTGGCCGCTAATCGCCACTTGTTGCAGAGGGGGTTTCGTGAATTCCAATCTGGCAAGGCCACCCCGGTTATTACTGCATGGTGTAATGTAAGGGTGCCGCGGTGGCGAGATGTTAACTACCTTGCCTGGTATCCAGGAGGTCGTGGGTTTTGATTCAGACCCTGACATTGTATATTTGGAGTTTGGATGTCTCTCTCCCCGAGCTTGCGTGGATTTTTTTTTCTCCGGGTCCTCTGGTTTTTCCCTCTACATTCATAAATGTGTTTAAGAGTATTTGGCTGCTATAAATGTATGCATGATAAGCCACTTCATTGGGTTATCATTTGTGGCCAGGTCACTTCTGAAAAATAGCTA